TGGTGCGGGAAATGGAAGTTAAGACATGTTGGATTAAGAGATCAGCTAATTCCCTAGCTGACGGTTTAGCAAAACAAGGGGCAGAAAGGGATTCCTTGTTTTGGGCTAAGTTGTAATGTTAGTGTCCTTGTATCTTTGTATTTTCTTCTTTCCTTTCTTGATGAATTAATGAAAGTGTTATTGATCAAAAAAAAAAAAATTAATGTAAAAGAATATTTGCAGGTCTTGGAATTGCAACAACAGAGAAAGTGTAGCGTCATATTTGATCTCTCATGCAATCTTGCAAGGGTATTGGAGTTCTGTACCCGTGAGATCCCTCAAGCCTTCTTGTCAGGGTCTGATATGAACCTACGGCGGTTAACGGAGTTGATCATCTTTATTCTGAATCATGTGACTTCAGCTGCAGATGCTGAATTTTTCGACCAGTAAGTGTTGTTAATTTTTATACTTTTTAGCATCTATTGTTTCATCCCACATGATTTCTTAAAATCCAAAAGGCCTTTATTTATGGGCATACCTAAAAGCCTTATGGCTAGAATGCTAGATATTAGACAAAATCTGGGTTTTATGATAAAACGGTATCCTGGTTGCACTCATGTGAACAACCTTAGGCTTTCAGCAAATCTTTAATTTTGTGCTTGACTTTTGACTCTGAGAAACCATAAATTGTAACAGGATTTTTGAGTTGTCTTTAGTTATTAACATTTTTTAATCTTCTGTTCTCCCCCAAAATAGATTTATAAAGGAATGAAACTTTTTTCTTCTTTAGATCAAATCATTTTCAGTGATCTTCCATGCATTTGTTTTCAATTTTTTTGATGAATAATTTGTTTTCATTTTTTTTCACCCTATCTTATTTTCAACTAATGTTGTGTGCCTGCTTAGCAGGTCACTTAGGCGACAGAGCCAGTCTCAAGAGAAGATAAATCGAGGGATGGTCTTAGCACCACTAGTTGGAATTATATTGAACTTGTTGGATGCTAGTATTCATTCAGAGGACAGGGTGAAGAATGATGTTGTGGGAGTGTTTGCAAGCATGGATTGTCCTGCTACTGTTCACTGTGGATTCCAATACCTGTTGGAGTACAACTGGGTTAGTTCTTGACTTCTTTAATTTTATTCATCACTTGCCTAACATTTTAAAGCCATGTAGTGTTATTACAGCTGTATTGTTAGTTCATGGGCCTCACCATGCTTGTTACCCTTCTTTCCATGTAATTTAAACCCTTCTCCATGCTTGTTTATAGATCCAATTGTTGTCTGGATTGGATTCAATTTTGATCTGATTACACTAGGTACAATCTCAAACAGTAAACATCACTTATAATCAGATCAAATGTGAATTCCCCCAAGCTGATTCATTTAAGATCTGATCAACCAATATTGCTATATATATTTAATAAATGTAAATATGGAATTAACAATAGTTAATGGTAAAGTTGATTTGAGTATCATGTTTCAAAGGAAGAGGATCAAGTCTTGCTGAAGTGATTTTCAGTTTATTTTATAAATGATCAATAATATCCAAATTATAAGGTCTATCTGATCAATCCAAGTAATTTGAATCTGATGGATGGGTTTCAATTCATATCTGAATATTGATGAGGATCAAATTCAGATCTAGGTATGTCTGATCAAATTCCACCCATTGAAAGCCCTACCATCCCCTGTTCTCACACTGATGCAAAGAAATCTGAAATTTATTTTAGGGCAGGAATCAGTACAGTCCATGGTTGAAATCATGCTTAACTGGTCACATGCTTTCTCAATTGCTTCTTTGGATGAGTTGTAGCTAAAGGCTTTTAAACACCCTGTCCTTGATTTGATTATGGTGCTTGGTTCATTTGTACTGGTAGTTTTGGGTCCTTGATGTGGGGCAATGATATTAACACTTTCAAATCTTGATTTTTTTTGGAACAAAAATGAATAGTTTTAGGCTCATAAAAATAATTCTAATTGCAGGTTGGATCCTTAAGAGTGGACCCTTCTTTTACAAGACTGAGGCAGCTTGAGGAATTCCTGAGCCTCCTTGGGAGCAGGACGAAGTCAAGGGAAGAGCAGAGTTTGGGATCCAGTGCTGATGCTGAAGAGGATGATGATAGACTGTGCTGCATTTGTTATGCATCTGAGGCAGATGCTCAGTTTGAGCCTTGTTCGCACAGATCATGCTTTGGGTGCATAACCAGGCACCTTCTGAATTGCCAAAGGTGTTTCTTTTGCAACGGCACAGTCCTGGAGGTGCTCAGGGTTGACAGGAAGAGAGAGACCGTGTAGGGGGTATTGTTCAGCTTTTTGGTACCTCTTACAGTCTTACCTGGCTTGTGCTACAGTGGGATCCTTGTTATTCATCAACCAACTGACAGAAGCCTTAACCAGAAGTTGGCGGGGAAAACCTCGGCCAGAAGTTGGTGGGAACGTCTTTGATTTTTGAATGGAAGTGGCCCACATGCATATTAACAGTGCTAGGGTGGTCTCATGTCTCATTTCTAGATGCCGAAATTGATATATTATATCCTTGTGCATATATATGAGTGAAAATTTACCAATGATCAGTGTTACTGTTAGGGAAGTTTGGCGATATGGGGTTAATCAAGAATTTTGTAGAATTGAGGGCATTATTCTGTAAATATGAGATGTAAATGGAAGGAAATCTTTTGGGTTCATCTCTCTCTCACTGAGGTGCCGTGGCATATTTTCTTCACGGAATGAGCTTGTAAATTGATAACGTGTGCTATTCTGGGCTTTTTCCTTGGTTTGGGCTAATATATGGACTAAGGATTAAAGTATTGCTATCGGTTTTCATATCGGACAACTAGATATGGATAAGGAGACGTTTTGGAAATGCATGGATATAGACGAAAAATATGAAAATGCATGGATATACTAGGAAAATACATACAAATTTCATAAATATAGTAATATCATTAAATTTAAGATCAAAATAATCACAAATAATATATAACTACACATGAAATGTATATTTTAGTGATATATATGAAGAAATATATTATAATTAATATATCAAGATGCATAGATACCATATAATTTTATTTATAATGCATCAATCAAGAGTCCAAGGCACTAGGCAATATGCACATATTATATTTTAATTATTATATAAATTATTATTTTTATTATTTTTTAGTTTTTTAACATTAATAAAAAGTCAATTAAATATTAAAGTCTCAAATACAAATTAAAATATTAATTAACAATTTATAAAATTCTAATCTTAACTTAAAGTATATCAGATTTGTTAAAATTTATAATATACATATCATATAAAAATTCATAATTTTTAATTACTAGAATAATTATTTCTTTATTAATATTTTAATTATATAATTTTTTTAATATGAAAAATAATTTTTTGAAATAAATGTAGACTAATGGATTTGATAAATTCAATTTAATGTTATATTCTTAAATATTTTATAAACAATATTTTCTTTTTTATAAATAATAAATATGCTGTTATAACTTATTAATATAAATTAAAATATTAATTAATAATTTTTAAAAATTTATAATAATTTTAATATGCATATCATTTGCAAATTTATAAATTTTAAGTATTAAAATAATTAATCTATTCTTAATATTTTATTTTTATAATTTTCTTGATATTAAAAATCATCTTTTTATATAAACATGGATTTGATAGATTATTTATTGTATTAGTTTATAAAATACTATTTTTGAATATTATTCTTTTGAAAATTTAGTTTTTTTTTGTATTCGTTTTGAAATTTTAGTTAGTGTTTTTTTGATAATAGAGATTGAAAAAATCACATGTAGAGAAAGAAGTTAATAAAGTTTATTTTATTTTATTTAGGATAAATCTCTTAAACTACCTCTATTGTTCACGAAATTGGCAAACTGTACCATTACTGTTTAGATATTGTCTTGCGGTACCCTTAAGTTTTCTGACAATTGACATTGTCATTAAGTGCTAATGGAAGAAAACGAAATATCGAATTTATCCTCCACTATTCCTCAAATTTCATTCCCTAATTCATTGTCCGCCTCTACTGTCTCCATTCTCAGACCTCCCCCTCCGCCTCTGGTCTCTCTCTCCTTTCTCCATTCTCATACCTCTCCTTCCTCTGAAATAATTGTGGGGATCCTTGTGGATTGAGCTGCAATGAATAATCCCCAGATGCCGGATCGTCTGGAAACTTTAAAGTTCAATCTCACAGCTTTCCAGCACTGATTTGGTGGGATCATTGGTGATGATGAAACAGGGGCAATAGCATTTGTCAGCTGAGATATACCATTCTCTATGTGCTTGTTTGGAAGACAGAGGCAAATGGAATTCTTTTCTCTTAGCCCCTTCATTTCATGAAATGGTTGGTTAATTCTTGTGGTAACGCATTTGTCTTGCTGGTTACAGGAGAAGCATTTCAAAGTTCTACAGTGGCAAATCAAAGTCCTTCACAAGTCTGGCGGACGCAGCCTCCTCTTCGTCGATTAAAGACATTGTCAAACCAGAGAACGCCTATACCAGGAAGCGCAAGAACCTGTTGGCTTGTAGTAATTTATGGGACAAAAATAGAAGCTTCCGTCTGAGAATGTCCGTTGTAGAGAGAGGCCAGTTCTAGGTTGACGAGAAGGAAAGAGGGTCAACTCTAGCACTGGCAATCGTGTGGCCGCCGTTGTCCGCAACGGCGATACCAAAATTACCGTCACCGCTGCAATTTTCAACAACAGCAATAAATAATAAGAGTATTTTAGGAATTTTAAAATAATTATCATTCACGTGGTGTCACATGTGAATGGAATGTGACGGAAAATTAACAGCAAGGGAGGTTTTAGACAATTGTCAGAAAACTTAAGGGTACAATAAGAGTATCTAAACAGTAAGGATACAGTTTGTCAATTTTGTGAACAGTAGGGGTAGTTTAATAGATTTACCCTTTTATTTATTATTGCAAGTATAAATGTGGATTAGTGGTTAAGAATTGCATTTAAGGTGCAAGCTCTGGCTGCCCGCTCTTGGTGATCTGAGCGACCTATATCAGTGTGTATTGGTCGATACAATACGATTCAGGCCGCTACTGATCTGTATTGCTACGATACATACGACTCACGGGATACGCTTCTGTTCGTAGAATATCCCATACCACCATTGGCTGATACTGATACGATATGCCCCGTATCAGACGTATTATATTGATATTTAAATCCTTAATTCACCGAGACAGGCTAGTTGATAGTTGAGTGGTGCCTTCTGTTTTGTATTATTTTGCACTCTACATACCTTATGTTTTGTTTTATTTTGTATGTAACAAAAGTGGTGCCTTCTCCATAACTTGTGAGCCCTATTCATTTCTGTATTTCATGATTGGTCTGATGCGTTATCATTGGTTTCGCAGCCCACTGAATAGCTATTGCGTACTAACCCACTTTTGTGATGCCAGACTGTGCGGGGAGAAGGATCTAGCATGGGTCAAATAGACCATTGCCCAAAGACCTGTGTCAGGTTGGGCCATGGGCCAGCCCGCCTTTGGGGGTGTAGGCTGGTAGCAAGCAGAATGTTCTGGCCCATAGGCGGCCCAGCCCGTTTTACACCTATACTATTGTGTTCTAATTCTTTTTGTTGTCAGTCTCCGTTGGATTCACTCACACATCACATGGTAATGATTTTTTCGTGTAAAACTAAAGTGGGCTCTCGTAGTTGGCCCCACAGTCTGTTGGGTTCAGCTGCTAATCCAAACTCACAAAATGGTTTTCTTTTTGGTCATTTACTAGAACACCTTCTATAGTTACATAAATTTATTTAAACATAACCTATAATTTGCATTTTATTAAAACATTCCCTAAAGATTAGAGTTTGCAACTAATTTACTTAATTGCCCTTGCATTAAGAATGATTTGGAAATGATCATGTAACCACCTAAACCGAGTGAAAAATATTTAAGGGCATGGGCCCATGGTTGTTTGTTCTTAAAGTACCCCAAGCAATTCATATCAAGTTTTTAAAAGGAAACAGTGTTTGGTTTCTAGATCTATCAAACAATGTTTGGTTTCAAACTTTCAACAGACTGAAGAAGAGAGAAAAATGGTGTTTTGATTCTTAATTTGCAACAATATGTCTTCCTTCTTCAAATGGAGAACAAAATTTATCAAAATGGACTTAGTTGCATTTTACTAGGGGCAAGAATGACATTTCCATTTTCATCTTTTTCTTATTAAATTTGTTCAAGCGTATGTTAAGGTCAAAACCATCATTTTACATTTCCTTTTAAAGGTCGACGAAATAAATTGGCTGCAAACTATAGGGGGTGTGGGGTTGTTTTATTTATTTTTTGAAAACAAACCCAAAGACAAAGCTTCATTCAACTAAAGGGCTTGGATCTGCTACCCACTAGTTGTTTCTACATTCCTATTCATTAGACATTACAGCTGCGCATTGGGAATATCTCCCTTTTCATTCATAGGGATGTTCCCAATACATGACGGGGGTGTACCGTCGTGGGGATAGATGTAGGAACAACTAGTAGGTAGCAGATCTAGAGTGTCAACTAAATGCACGAAACATCTATTACGAGAATATTGCAAAGGAATCAAAAGCCTGCCCAATGATAGTGCTTGACATGCCACAGCTTGCTGAATGACTAGCAAAATTCATGAGAAATATGATAGGTGAGATAGCACACTTCTTCTATCCGTGATTAATGTTTAAGGCCACCACATACATGGTGGTCATAGGTTTAGAGCGCTCTTTACACCGGTCTTATAACCACATCCCACTATGTATTGAGAACATCTCCCATGAATAATAATATATAAGTACGGAAGATATTCCCGATATGTGTGACTGAACCATACTGTAAGATCTATGTGAGGAGCGTTCTTTGAAGAACAGATCTATTTATTCCAGACTTTATGTGCTGTAATGGTGATAGAGCGTGGTTGTACACATGTGACATGCCTCATTAAGATCGGGCCTCAATAAGAAATCAATATATGCATGGGATTGAGAAATAATAGATTGAGGAACAAATTGCTAGTTAACCGGTAGAACCAGGACCCGGAGAGCATTCTATTTAATTCCGGTCCAATTCTTAAAACATTAGTTTCAGCAGAATTGGAATCTCCTCCCAACAAAATATTTTCTAACACCCTGACAACTTGATCTGACACTGTACATCTCACTGTAAAATTAGGGCCCATCATAAAAGTGGAACCCATTATATAAAAGATTAAGGAGACCGGATCTGCTCCTAACACATGGCGCCTTACACCAACTTTACAGGCACATCCCATCATACATTGGGAATGCACGGTGGGATGTGCCAGTGAGGTCGTGAGATGCCCTGAGGAGTAGATCCCAATTTGATGTAAGGTGTTAGATGACATTAGTAGGGTGTTGGAACATATATTCCATTGGCAGGTGATCCGGACTCGTTTCAGCAATATTTTTGGGGTGTTTTATTAACGGGTTCAACTATGATACGAAAAATATATGATATCTGAAAAACTTTTGACCAATCAACTGGAATCATAAATGTGATAGCTAATAAGGGGTTATTTATCAAAATTCATGGGTGGGTTTTGATTGGTCAAAACTCTTCCCATACCATATCTTTTCTGTATCATAGATTTTCTCTTTACTAAAATGGAAATTGTAGAGTAAGTTTTAATAAATCCGTGGAAAGGGACATTTTAGTAAATGGCCATTTCTTTCATAATTCACATCTCCACTCCACAAGGAGCCGCCCCACCATGCCTTTCTGGGGTGTTTTATTAACGGGTTCAACTATGATATAAAAATATATGATATCTGAAAAACTTCTAATCAATCAACTGGAATCATAAATGTGATAGCTAATCATGGGTTATTTATCAAAATTCATGGGTGGGTTTTAATTACTAAAATGGAAATTGTAAAGTAAATTTTAATAAATCCATGAAAAGAGATATTTTAATAAATGGCTATTTCTTTCAGAGTTCACATCTCCACTTTACAAGGAGCCGCCCCACAACGCCCAGCAGCACATCTCCGCCATGTATTGAAAACATCTCCCCATGATGACATCATCAAAACTGGTATATATATCTCCCAGTACACGGCGGGAATGTGCTAAGGGGAATTGTGGGGGCGGAGATGTGAACTCTTTTTTTCAATACTCTATTTTTTTTTCCTGATCGATGTAATGAATAAAGTACCCTTCTCTTCAGTTGGACTAAAACCGAAGCGGAGAGGGCGAGAGTGTGGAAGAACGGCGTCGTTCTCATCGGCCGACCGATGTTACCCGCAATCAAATTGCAGGCTCTGAACCTTCCAAAACCTTTGGTTTCCTCACGTCGTAGCCACAATATCACTAAGAGCCTTCCATCACATCGTCCTTCGGATCTCCGGCAGCCCGTGCTTCGGTTCTCATCGCTGTCTCTCCAATCCGAGAATGCCTCTGCATCTGGCCCCGCACCTTCTCGTCTCACGTCGTCCGTCGGGTCTCCTCCTTCGGCTCATCTGGTGCAGTGGAACCTCACGCACCGGCACATCCTAATATTGAATGCCATTGCGTGCACGGTATCACCTTACCTCCTCCTTCCTAGGGTTTCTTTTTCTTGTTATTAAATTGCTGTTAATGGTTATTAATATTGTTATTAACGGTCAGAATTCGTGTTAATTTTTCATTCTTTAGTTTTGTCGGGATGAGCAGTGGTTAATTCTGGCATTTGGTTTTATATATGTAGATGTTTATTTTGATGGTTGAAGTCTATTGCAGCGTAGCTAGATTTTGAGTTAATATGATGGATGATTTCTAAATAACTAATAATTTCTTCACTTTGCTTGGAATTAAAGTTCCTAATTATGAATTGATGCGTGGATATTTAATAATCTTTCTCTGCTCATCTGGAATTTCTTCACTTAAAAGACATCTTGTGGATTTTCAAAATCGATCTTTTGGTATTGAAAAAGATTTTTTTTTTTTCTTAATTTGTTCTGGTGGCAGTTTGCTCTGTATTAGCTTCACTTCTTTGTTCTCCTCCACCATGCAATTCGTCTTAATCTCCTATTCGATTAAATACTGAGATAGTGGGACATTCAATTCATGAATTATATGTCATGTCACATTGGTAATGACGAGGTTTAGATAGATATACCATGTTATAGCTTTATTTCCTTAGAAAACGTTTAACATCTAAAGAGAAGTTCTTTCTCTATGGAAGTTTATATATGATGAGTATATGCAAGTTTTGGAAATAAAAGCAAGAATTGCTGGAAGTGTTTCATAGAATATCTGCCTTCTACTTTATTGTTTACAAGATTCCATACATAGATCTAGTCGTAAGTTTCAGTTGTTCAGATAATAAATACACGTTTTATTCACAGGTAGCCATTTCAGCATCCTGGCTCTTTTTCTCTGCAATTCCGACTCTTCTGGTTTGTGTTCTTGAACTTTGTATCCATTTTAATTTATCCTCTAGGAACTGGCAGTTGGTTATGAAAATAAGATTTCTCATTCAAGTTGTTCAATGTGGTTTGGGGACATAAGGCTTTTAAGAGGGCTGCTGAGTCACTAGAGAAGTTGCTGGATGTCACCAGAGAGGAGCTCCCAGATACAATGGCTGCTGTGCGGTTATCTGGAATGGAGATCAGTGACCTAACCATGGAGCTCAGTGATCTGGGGTTAGTGCTTTGAATTTAGATTTTGAATGCACTTTTTGCACAGTTTCTCTATATCCAATTCATAATCCTATCTTACCAAATCTTCTGTATCTGTATTTGTTCAGCCAGGAGATAACACAGGGTGTTAGAAGGTCCACACGAGCTGTTCGATTGGCGGAGGATAGGTTGCGTCAGTTGACAAACATTGTTCCAAGAGGTTGGCAATATTGTTTGGTCTTTACATGTTTGATCATGTCTCTTCTTGAGTGGAATCAAGTCGTGGTTTTTACTTCATCTTCACTTGATTAGCATTAATGCAGGAGCAAACCAATCCAAGGACAGAGACAATGGGACCAGTGATAGCTAGAACAGCTAGGGGCCTACGTGAAGGAATTGTCAAGGGGCGTGCAATCTTGCAAACTTTCTTTAGTGTTGCACAATTTTTCAGGCTGGCCTTGAACTTCTTCACTGTGCAAAGACAGAAGCGGTTGAAAGATATATGATGTTCCGATATGCTTCATGGTGGTCACTGTGATCTTTGTTGTGTACATTCTTTTCCTTTATCTTTCTTTTTTCCTCCTTTTTGTGTATTTCTGGCTGGGGTTTATTGTTAGTTTTTATTTTCTTCCGGGAGCCATCTGTAAGATACCTTGGATTCAAATGATGAGCGAGGATTCTTTCCTATTTAATTAAGAGATCATCTAACTATTAGTAGTTACGTTTACCTTGAGTCTTTTTTATAGGAAATACCAGACTTTCTGTTATTTCTATTTTTGGGCATAATACCAGGTATTGATATTGTTGGGACAAATGTTTATTAGTCTTTTAGAGAAGATTTGAACACATGAAAAATTTATAAAAAAAAAAAGATTTGAAAACACATGAAAAATTCTAACTCTTGGCTTTGCCTGTTTATTGGAAGATTGATCGAGATCACCCCTCTTGGTCCTAAATCACTTTTTAGGGATGTTAATGGGTCGGGTTTGGCATGGGTTTGCCTCAACCCGAATTCGACTCGATCCGCCTTAAAATACATAATTTCCGAACCCGACCTAACCCTATAGGGGCTAACCCAATACTGACCCAACCTGACCAGTACATTTCAATTATATTTTTTTAACACAAAAAAAACAAAATGAACATATAAATAAATGTTAAACTTTAAAGCTATAGAGTTAGAAGTCAAAAAGTTACAGGAGGGTATCATGAGTCATGACCTTGATAGGGTGGGTCAACCAAAACCAGAACCCGACTTGGGTTGAATAATCAAAACCTTAACCTGACCCTAAAGCAAGCCAAATACATTGACCCTAATCCGACCCATTGACATCCCTTCTATTTAATTATAATAGGGATCAACTATATAGAACTAACAATTAACTGGGTCAAAAAAGGCCTGTAAAGAGCCCTTGCTTTTAAATCTACATCATATATCTGATAAGGGCAACTTTTGGGCCATAATATCAATAAAAATAATATTTTTAATATAATTTCTAAAATATGTTTAACTTTTTAAAAAATATATCAAATAAGGGCAAAAACATTGTTCATCTTATTCCTCTTTCAAACCACTTCTACCCCAACTCAGCCTTACAAACAATTCATTAGCACTACTGCCTATCGCTGCCTCCGGCAATGTTGCCAAAGGTGGGTGGAGACAGAGGCAGCGGCGGCACTGGTGGGTAGAGGTGGCGGCATTGGGCAGAGAAATAACCACCAGCGCCGCCGCCCGGCGCCACCTCTGGCAATGCCTCCGCCCACTTCCGCCTCTGGCAATGTTGCCGAAGGTGGGTGGAGACAGAAGTGGTGGCGGCATTGGTGGGTAGAGGTGGCGGCGGCGCTGGTGAATAGACTGCAAGAGGAAGAAGATGAACAGTGATTCCGCCCTTTATTGATATTATTTTTTAAAAGTTATCATATTTTTGATTTTTTTTAAATATTACTTTTAATGATATTAGGGCCCAAAAGTTGGCTGGTGTTATTAATTGTACGTCTTATCAGAATGCACATCTTAGAATTAGAATCGGTACTGCTTCTTACTTGTAAGACTGAAATGAAACATCCCATATCAATTTAAAATAATATTTTGTTGCAGAGTAATTTGTCTTTATCAATGGAGAAATATAATTTGCAGGCACGAGTTAGAGAATAAAAACCTATCCAAAGATCTCACTAAACACAGCTTAAGTTTTTAGATCGAATAATTCCTTGAAATGATATTAGAGCTTGATTGACCAAGTGGCGGTCTAATTAACTTTGAATTCTCATCATTGCCCTCATTATGATTAATTAAATTTCAGCACAAGTTATGGGTGGGCCTATGTTTATTCACACTTCAAGTCCGAAAGACTTTCGCGAGAATGTTAGACAATAAAATCGTATACAAGGACATCAACTAACAGCTTAAGCTTTTAGGTTGAATGATTCCTTCAAATCATTAACATATGTTAAGTCAAAATAAGTGAAATGATAACTAAATTTATGATTCTTGGGCAGGTAACCGAAATTCATTACCGAAAATGCATAAGCTTCTTTATCTGGTGTTCGAATGTGCTCCCAACAAACAGATTGTTGAAATAAAAGACACGCATAGCCATTTTTCTTTTCTTTCTACACTCTAAAATATTCAGTTGTCAAAAAACGGAAGTACTGAACTCAATTCATCTTTAATCCCAACCATTTAGGGCTTAGAGACTTTAGGGGGTCGTTCTACAATGCCAATTGGAAATATATTGTTTCTTAAAACAAAAATACACTAAGCATGTGTAGATGTTTTTTTGTTTTCAAAACTGAAACTAAAAACATGTTTTTGAATCTGGTTTCAAAATCATGCTTTCATCTGATTATTCAAAATCATGATCTATAAATCATATAATCTGTATACTAGAAAATTTGTTTCTGTTTTAAAAACCAATATTTTATTGGTTCTAAAAACATGTATTATTGTTTCGCTTTGAAAACAAATATAGAATTCAAAAACATATTTTTTGTTATTTTTTCTTATATGGCGATTCCAACGCCCCCCCCCCC